ATTATTATAATATTTATTATTTATATATTTATTATAATATTATAAACTAATAGATACATTTACTCTTTTATATTTCGTTTTAAAGATTTTTTTATTTATGATATTTTTATTTTAATATTATTCAAGATATGTTTGAGATGATAATATAAAGATTAAAAAAATTTCTCTTAAAATTAAAAAGATTAAAATTAAATATATCAATTGCTGCATTTAAAAATACGTATTATTTAATTTAAAATAATTATTAAGTAATTAAAATTTTGTCTAATTTTATTAGTTTATATTTAAATTATTAATTATATAAATGTATAAAATATTTTATAATTTTTTATTTTCATAATTTTAATCACCAATTATCGCTCTCATTGTTGCGAAATAAGACAATGTTGTCATAAAATACTGTAAAAGCATAAAACATAATTCTTATTACATTTATTTTACTTCTCATTATATTATATTTTATTATTTTAGATATTTATTATATCTGTACTTAAGAATAAAAAATATGCTATCTTTTAACATAAAGTATACCTTAGCATAATATTTAAGAGTCAAAGTTGGTAAAAACATTCCCATACTGATTAAAAGTGGTTTTTGACTTCTTTGCATAATAAAACACATATCTTTAATGATGTATTGTGATTTTCCAAGCCATGACATATTATATATTTCTATTGCAACTCGTTCACTCTGTAACAATATTATTTAAAATATATTATTATTTTAACAACATATTAATTAAAATATATTAATTATATATATATAGAGTTCAACATTTCTTATATTTTTATAAAATACATTATTCATATTATTTATAATTTATTATAAATTTAGTAAAAAATGTAAAAGATAGAAATGTTTAAATTATTAATTACATTTTCCATTAAATCGTTGGCTGGCCAAGCAGTAATGTATAATCTTTGATATCCAGCTAATACCAAACAAAGAAATTGCGATGATACTTCCAACGATTGTTTCTATATTTAGTAATAAAATTATTAATATAGTTAATTTTATATTAAATAAATGTTGCTAAACACAAACAATATAAAAATTTTAGTGGGATGCATACATGAATAATTGGAAAAGTACCGCAAATAGACATTACTGCCATCAAAATGTTCGTTTTAAAAAGGCTAAATTGTACAACATCTTTTGTTTTATCAACAAACCTATATCGACATAAAAGACAAATAAAATAATATTTTTCAACTGTATGTATTATTATAATATACTTATGTGTCATAATAAATTCAGTGTTGTAATAAATTTTCGCAATATTAAAAAGTGTTAAAAAAATAAACAAAAATATAATCTGTGATAATTTTCAGACTTTTTACAATTTACCGGATTATTTTCTGATGTTTCTTGATGCATGAATTAATCTGTCTTTTATTTTTTGCAGTTTGTATTTCCAAACATAACATCTCCAATCTGGCTGATGAATACAAAAAAAATACGGCAAACATGAGGTCAACACTGACGCAAAGTCCACTTTGCATAACTGCATAGACTTGGATAGTATAGATGATAGATGTCACAACTAAAGATTCAGTGGAAAATGGATAAGATCCTTCAATAGGAAATTTTTTTGAAGTAAATATTGGGATACAAGAAAAGGCGGTTATTGATACTCCGTAGCAGATTATAACAAATATGGAAAAGAAGGTATAACGATTTATGTATTTCTGTATAATGATCCTTTCATGGTCGTTATAGGTGCGAAGAAAATCCTTTATCTCCTTCAGGATATGCTAAATTTAATTAATAAGTTTAGTAACAAGATGAGAAATGTATTAAACATAAAGACAGAACTACGTAAAATAACATATTATTCAAAATATTATTAAGCATTCAAAATTTGAAAAAAATTTTAATTATGTATTTATGGATAATGAAGATGTTATTTATGGATAATGAACGAATAATGGAAAACGGATAATGAGAATAAAAATGTTGATATTTTTTATAATGACTATTATTAAATTATTAATAAAATATTAATATTATTTCTACTATATATTTGTGAAAATAATATTTAATGAAATTCATAGGATACTGTTTACGTACCTGTATATGCTTCCTTTTTAATGTGCATATGACGATATTAAATAACAACTCCATTCCACAGGCGACTTCCGATAAAGCTTTCATTACTGTCATTATATCATTCTGATCATAAATAGTGCGTATTAATGTTGCTTCTATAATAATCATGTTCGAAAGGCTAAAAATCCAGTTGATTTTTTGAAAGATATACACGAGTTTGTTGACATCAGGATCATGTGGCCATGTGCACGTTATAATATTACATATTTGTAAAAAGCGGAATACTCGATTTATTTTCAGATGTAGCAGTTTCATTATCTAATCTTCAATCCAAACTTGCTTACAAAAATCAAAAGATACATATGACGCTTTCCGATGAACAGAACATTTCTAATAAAACTGAAAACGAGAGCAGTTTAGACGTTGTAATTCGATATCTCGTTTACTAAAAAGGCGATTTATGATTATGAGGATATTTAATGTCAAATAGTTCAGCCTAATAAGTCGTTTTACCTAAAGAAACAAATTCGAAACAATTTCGGCTTATTTATTTAAATGAAGATTAGTCGCATTGATTACAAACAGCACGAAAACAACATTATACAGTAATCATTAATGCTAGCTTTTTATTAGAATTGAACAAATACTTAATTCTTGATAAAAGCATTTTAGCATACACATGTAAAAATGACTTCTTCAAGATATTATTGCTAGCAAATGCAAAATATATACATTTATGTACGTACATTTAAAATATTTAGACTCAGATATTGATAAATAAATTCTTATTTATCTCTTTATTTTACAAGATTTATCTTTTACGACAATATTCACTTTATTCTTGTAGATAAAAAATAGAAAGTTAGGTATTAAAAAGAAAGGTTTATATATTAATTTTTACATAGATTAAACTTGTTGTTGTAAATTATATAAAAATATCTAATCTATATAATTTTTTATGCGGATTTTAATAGAACATTGTAGTGTTTATTATTTTCTATAAAAAACTGATGGTTAATATTCTCAGGTAAATTACCAGGTACCAAGTTTTATCATCAGTTAATATATTGAATAAAAATATGTATGCATAATACAATTTATGCATAAACAATTTTTTAAATGCTACAAATGACATAATGTGGTATTATTATTATTAAAAGATCTGCATTTTTTTATATAAAATTTTATTATTTTATTATTTCTAACAACAGCGGGTAATACAAGATTTACCGACAACGTTTGTTATTGATTTATACCGTCGGATGATCAGAAACTAACAAATCAAATGTCGGTGTAGCAATCTCTCTTTACTATTTAACATGTTTATCATTATATTATAATAATCTAATATTAAAACTTTCTCTCATGGCTTCCGATTCTCTCCCCTCGGCTAATCCATAATTCACAACTTATGTCGACAAAAGTTTCGAAAACATCTTCCCGAGTTTGCAACTCGGTGGCGTTCAGCCACTCAGCGGTTCGCACTAATGCAAGCACAAATCTTAACGCGTCGTACTGTCTTCTCGGTAACAAAATACTCTTAGCAACTTTGGCTTATATGAGTTTCGTTAATTAGTGCGTCGCGCCGTTACCGTGCATTATTCCGTTGTGATTTCATTTCGGGCACTGTCGTTCGAAGTTACGACACAAATGTAATGGATTTTCACGACGCAAATCGAGTATCCTCGAAATTTTCGAATAAGCTCTTTCGCAGAAACGTAAAGTCCGACTGTTTAAAGAAACGCTTCGAATTTGCAATGTACTCTGCAAGTGGCACATTCGCGCTTGATGCGCCGAGCATTTCTGATCATAAGCCGTGAAAGTTTGAGATTGTATTAAACTTTATATCATTATCCACCAAGAGAAGAGCTTTATGTATGCGGCTTTATATTTGTCTCGCATTCACATAGTGGCGATACAAATTTACGAGTGACATTTCGTTATATCCGGAGCACGTTAAATCTTTTTTTCAAATCGGCAAACTTTGTTTTACCATTGCCTGTATTATCTTATTCTTTTTATAAATTTTATTAAATAAAAGGCATTAAATATTGCAATAAAAATTTCTGTTTTTATTAATATATATTTATATTAAGTTTTAAATGTCATGTTTGTATTATTTGTTATCAATTTAAAAATGATACCCAAGGTCTGATAAAGTATCAACGAAATCCAAAATATAGAAATGCGAATTTGTTAAAAATTCTAATCACTTGTCAATTAAAAACAAAAGAAAATAAAAATTTTAACTAAAATTTTTTATATTTTAAACTATATTTAGGCAGTTATTTGATAGACGGACTATGTTACTGGATGCAGTTGTAATTAAAAATTTTATTTGGCCTCTGACTCAAAATCAATTTCAACGCGAATATTTGAATCGCGTCTATTTCGGCATTCACTGATACGTTAAGAGACTTTATCACCGATTGTATTTTGGTTGATTCAATCAACGGTTTGTTTGCTTCGATTGCTTTGCGCGCGCAATCGGCGTAATAACTTCTCTAACAGTTTATTATAGTACGCAGAATTTGTCGAATAATTATGTGAATTTTAATTTTTTTATTGTACAACTCTCACATTGCAGAAAAAAATATAATTGTCAAATATGAGTTATAATTGAATATATAAGAACTAAATTATTCTATTTAAAAATATACAAAACGAAAATATAAGTTTTAAATTATCCTATTTTAAAAAAGCCATATATGCACAGTGAAAGAATATATCAGCATCGCGAAGGAAAAGCTTTTATGATATACTTAAGATATATTTTAAAAACACTAGACGCGCTATTTAACATTATATATAACATTATACATTTTTCAATTAAATATAAAATAAATTTTATTTTTTTATGCTGCAGCTATATCAAAATATTTTGAATATATCGAAATGTTGAAGCGATGCTGATATGTTCTCTCACTATGTTAACTTTATAAGCAAATGTTATCATAGAAATCGTGTACTTTAATAGTTGAATCGAGGAAGTTATCAGTATAATAGCGCAATAATATTAATTGTAAGTTATTTATGCACTTTAGCATACGATTGTGCACAGAAATTTCTCTTTTTCTTTTGAATAAATCTAAAATTGTTTCAGATAAATTTTACAAAACTTATCCTTATTATAATCTATATTGATATATATATAAATAAAATTGGATAAATATATAAATATATATAAATATATATATATATATATATAATATATAATATATAAATATATATAAATATATAAATTAATGAAAAAAATTCATTAGAATTAAAAAAAATATAAAATAAATAGCGTGCGCAAAATGCGCGCTCGGAAATGTTTTAGATTTATTAAACTTTACAAAAAAAATTTTGCTCGTTATTTTCACAATTTCAAAACTCCTTTGTATTTTGCGAAAATCAAAGTCTCAAGAATACATTAACTTTACAGGACAGGATATGAGTAAGCAAGATATGGATATTACATGATGTGTCGAAAACTTAGATTTGATCGCAGTGGACAGAATAAAAATGCGATAAGACTACCATTTTTATACAATAATATAAGTACATTTCCGCGTATTTTATAATAAATTATTTTTCTATACTGTTTCAAAGTCTACTCATATTTTGACGCGATAGTCATCGAAAGCTCAGAAATACATTGCTTTCAGATGTCAATAGCATTCAAGCAAGCAGACTATTGTTTATCTTAGATTGATTAAAATAAAAAAAATGGAGGAATATATATTTAAGAAGTATTGGATATATCGATCTCTAGAAAATTTGGATTTCCAGTGAATATTTCGGAATGCCATAAGCTCGTTTCTGGCAAGAATCGTTTCAAAACACATTTATTTTATTTATTTTTATTGATATAATGAGAAAATTAGGTTTTTTGAAAAAATTATTAAAAAAAAGCATTATTAGCAGTATCTTTCCGGGAAGGAAAATTAGCCATTGAAATCATTAAAGGCTTTACTATATTAGAAAATATAATCATCAAAGATAAGATTACTTTTTTTAAAGTTATTTTGCAAAATTGCAAAAAAAAAGAAAAAAAGAAAAGATTATATTTTTTAAATATTTTCTTTACGTATTTTGATATTTAATCCATATTATATTTTTGTTTGCTAAAAAATTTATATAAGTAAAATTTTAACATTTTTAAAAACTAATATATTTCATGTTTTTATAGGTGTATGTAGCTGCTTAATACTGGAGCTTTGATCGAAAATGTTAAAATACTCGTATGATAAAGGAATAATGGGAAATGTAAAATGCTATGAAGCTTGTATTAAAGAAGATTTTATAAAGAGGAAGATGTGATCTATATATATAGCTTATATAAATATTAGCTATAATGATTATGTTAATAATTATAACGAAATGTCTTTAATAAAATATTTATATTACAATAATCATATTATATGTATATTATAGATATACGCAGTTGATGGACAATAGCAATACATGTTACGCACGTACTCAAATAGTATAATACAATGATGTGTTACGTCTACAAAAAGCACAACTTTTGTCATGTTTCATATTTGATCGAATTAAGGCTTAATGTATAGCCCACAGAGTTGCTAACAACGAGATTGATGAATATTAAACTAGATTGATGAATTAATTATCGAATACAAATTAGTCTGTATCAACTGTTGTTCATTTACGTAAATTTATTGAATTACGTTTACGAATTAACTGCAGCGTATGGCAATTTTGTAATAAAAATTTGGTTATGTTTTTTTTTAAATCTTGGTTTGATCGAATTCTTATTTAGTAACACAATTTCGTGTTAGTAATCATAATGATTGAGTTTTAATTTGCCATACAATCGACGAATATTTCAACTAATATGGTTAGCCATTATGAGCTTCAATCCCTTCCTTAGAACAGTACCTGCTGTGAAAACAAAAATATTTATTAATAAAATATCAATATTCCAAAAAATATTTTTATTACACATATTAAGAAATAAATTTATTAGAATTATATCACGTATTTGTTTATCTTATTGATTAAAATAAAAAAAATGGAGAAATATATATTTAAGAAATATGAATAAGTATGATTAAGAAGTTAAAACTATATAATTTTATTATTT